CACTCCAGGTGGCGTCTCGCCGCTACCGAATTTTCTTGCCGTTTGCCCGTTACGTTATCTAGGTCTCTCTCTCTCTCTCTCACGACACTCACCCCTCCTTCACGCCCCTGCGCGCTCGCTTGAACCGCTCGGTATGAAAAATGACGAGGCCACACAAGACGCGATGGCAGACGAGACCCGCTCCCCCCATCTACACGACGGAGGGGGTGCTCGCCCTGGCGTCTGTAAAATCTAACCCACCACTATATACATACTACACTCCGACAGGCCAGGAAAAAATATTAACATATTCAAACCATGCCGAAAAACGCTACAACTACTTGAGCAAAATTTGCGAAACACTCTGAAAATCCAAAAGTAGGATAGAATCCCCTATTTCCTACTGCTGTAGCAGCAGAACAGGCTTGCCCGACTGTTGTAACAGGAGAAATTCGCACCAAGAGTGGGGCATTCTTCTGGTTAAAACTGTAAGACAAGCGTGTCCTGTGTGTGTGTGGTATTGGAGGTTTTATTCTACTGTTTGATTTTCACAGTAAAGGATAACCTGGAACCTGCACTCGGCTCGCATGCATATAGTTGCATATATTGCTTTTGAGTGTGCAACGACAGTATGTTTTACAGCGGCAATAGTGAGGACAAAAGCAGGAGCTTGCAAGCACCACACAAACGGCTCTGTGAAACATAAATACTGTTTGAACACTTGACAGCGTTCAGCAGTTGCACACTTGAAAAGGCAATAGAGGCGACTTCAATAAGGTGCTTTGGGGATCTAAACTAAAACGCTACTCGACTAAGGCGTGCATTACAACACACACAACAAAGTGCCAGGCCAAAAAGTACTCTAACAATCCGCAGGCGTTTCAGGACGGGAAAATGAGGTACTAACCGGGCAGGGGCGGCCGGGCTGCGCGAGCTTGACGCTGAGGTATTCCTGCTGAGTCCACCAGCTCGTACTCACCTAGAACAGGAGGAAAACGAAAAACGTTAATTAATGCACGTTCCAAAATGGCAAAAAGCAAAAACGGAACAGAACACTTGGTAGGCAGGACTCAATCTACTGTGCTAAGAAGTCGAGTTCACCCTCCCGTAACTACTTCTCTCGACACTCGACGCGGCGGGGCCAGCGATCCTCGATAGAAACGCCGCGATTATAAAATTGGCCGAGTTTAACGAGGAGGCGCGGCGGGACGGGACCAAGACTCTTTCTCTTTCGCCTAAATTGCGAATTTCAATTTCGAATCCAATCCGCTTATCATCATCGCCACCATCATCGTTTCCACTTTTCAGGGGAAAGAGTTGAATTAAAGCGGAGAGAGAGAAAGGTATATAACGCAATTTGGTGGGAAAGGGCGTACGACGGGCCTAAAAACGAAGCCGACTTGCAAACTGCATTATCTGGGCCGGGGGGAAGTGGCCGGGCCAAGCGTCGTTAGGGCCGGGATCACTTGCCGCCGCCCCGCCCCGCCCCGCCCCGCCCCGCTCTGCGACTGATGGCTCATTCAGGCGATATGGCCCCGTCCATTAATACGGTAACGCGGCCGCGTCCGCATTTCGCCTCGCGTCGAGTAGAACTCCGGCGACCCGGACGCCACCCGCGCCGCAGCGTGTCGCCTCAATACCTCTTTACAGCCAGCCTTGAACGCCACTCTTTTTCATCCCGCGATCCCCCTCGGGGGAATTACCGATTCGATCCCCCCCCCCCACCCCCCCTTTCTTCCCCTCTCTCGCTCACACGCGCGCGCACGCGCCCTCCCCTTTGTTTTCGCGATCACCCTTTGTCCCATTCAAACGCTGCTGCTGCACTTCCTCTCCTCATCCGCAGTACGACACAAGCTCAATCATCAAAGTTTTCTAAAAATAGATGGGGGAAAATTTTTTCCGTCTTTTATTTCTTTTCCTTCCTTCTTCTTGCCGGTGGCTCATCGACCGCGATCCGCATTCGGTCGAGGCCCTTGATTAAATAAAATGAGAGGATATTTCCCGACCGAAATACCAATCAGGCCCATGAATAGTGAGCGGGTCCGGGACTTCAGATTGTGTCCGCCCCGCTCTCCCGCGCGCGGCCGCTTCTTTTTTGTCACTCATTCGCATTTTAAATGCGGCATCTGCATACGCCAGCGGACAACACTTTGGGCCCCGAGCAGGCGCGCTGTGGAGCGCTGCGGAGCGCTGCGGAGCCCCGCGGCCAGCTGGCGTCTTGGGTCACAGGGCGGATTGCACTGGACCATTACAACGAGACCGCCGCGCGCCGCTGCTGGCCAAGCAGATAAAAGAGACGAAAAAATAATAAGAAATACATTTATTGCAAACGGGGCCCGGAGCCGGGGACAGCGGCGGGGGCCGAACACCTATACCAGTCGAGATGATGAAAAAGGCCCGTCCTAACGAAGGCCCCTGCCTCGTTGCCCCGTTTGCACAATTTGGTCAGGCAGAGAAGGGGGAAGGGAAGTCCCGGATACCTCAGACAACACCCCCGACCGCCCCCCGCCCCACGGCCTCGCTCTAGCTCAGGCATACCTAACGAAGCAGCTCCCCCTCCTCCCGCCGCGCTGCTTTGGAAAAGACCGGCGTGGAGCAACGAGGCATAGGACCCGCCTCAAGGGACGAAAACCAGAGTCCGCAAAAGGCAGCACACGTCAAGTGTCATCGGCTGACACGTCCAAAACCTTTTGCATAGCTGGCAACAAGATCATCATCGGCAGTCTCTTGTGGGGGAACCTGCAGCTGGATCCATCGGGAAACTCGTCACAACATGGACGCACACTCGCCACATGGTAAGTACAGTGACCCCCTCCGACAGACTGCTGTCAAATACAAAAGCAAAAGGGGAAAAATGCACAAAAAGCCGTGGCACAGAGGCGCATCAGCCGCGTGCACGGGCAGCGGCGGCAGCAACTTCACGTTATGAATTTCTCATCTCCGGACGCCCCTGGGCCAAGAGGAAAATAATACGGGGAACCTCTCCAAGGCCGCCTGGCTTGGGCCC